TACTCGGACAATCCGAGCACAAGCTCAACGATTGAGCTTTTCTCCCTTAGTTTGCAGGCTAAGAAAATCGTCGGAGGTCTCATACCTCTTGACGTGGGCACGAGCCTGAAATCTTAATTTCAGCCCTCGAAACATCTCATATGTTCCGCGACATTTCGAAAACGTCTTTGGTGCCTATACTCTAAACCATTTAACTGAACTATCACGTAGTTATCAAAACGTGTATGTTCGATGTTCGAAACATCCACAAACGACGTTTGGGGTTCAGCACATTGAGCGGTGCATTAAGGACATGAGCTTTCTACTGATCGCATAATCGCTACTATCAACTTTCAACTATATTTTCTCTAGGAACATATCTAAACAGTAGAACTATAGCGTGAGCTACGACATAATTTGCAAAAGGTCTTTTGACTATGTTCAGGATAATTAAGTTCATCTTATGAACTCCCACTCAGATAGACATCCCTCTAGTCATCTAAGTGATTACATGATCCGAGTCAAACTAGGCCGTGTCCGATCATCACGTGAGACGGACTAGTCATCATCGGTGAACATCTTCATGTTGATCGTATCTACTATACGACTCATGCTCGACCTTTCGGTCTCCGTGTTCCGAGGCCATGTCTGTACATGCTAGGCTCGTCAAGTTAACCCTAAGTGTTTTCGCTGTGTAAAACTGTCTTACACCCGTTGTATGTGAACGTAAGAATCTATCACACCCGATCATCACGTGGTGCTTCGAAACGATGAACTGTAGCAACGGTGCACAGTTAGGGGAGAACACTTCTTGAAATTTTAATGAGGGATCATCTTATTTACTACCGTCGTTCTAAGCAAATAAGATGCATAAACATAATAAACATCACATGCAATTATATAGTTGTGACATGATATGGCCAATATCATATAGCTCCATTGATCTCCATCTTCGGGGCTCCATGATCATCTTGTCACCGGCATGACACCATGATCTCCATCATCATGATCTCCATCATCGTGTCTTCATGAAGTTGTCACGCCAACGACTACTTCTACTTCTATGACTAACGCGTTTAGCAATAAAGTAAAGTAGTTTACATGGCGTTCTTCAATGACACGCAGGTCATACAAAAAATAAAGACAACTCCTATGGCTCCTGCCGGTTGTCATACTCATCGACATGCAAGTCGTGAATCCTATTACAAGAACATGATCAATCTCATACATCACATATCATTCATCACATTCTTCTTGGCCATATCACATCACAAAGCATACCCTGCAAAAACAAGTTAGACGTCCTCTAATTGTTGTTTGCATGTTTTACGTGGCTGCTATGGGTTTCTAGCAAGAACGTTTCTTACCTACGCATGAACCACAACGTGATATGCCAATTGCTATTTACCCTTCATAAGGACCCTTTTCATCGAATCCGATCCGACTAAAGTGGGAGAGACAGACACCCGCCAGCCACCTTATGCAACTAGTGCATGTTTGTCGGTGGAACCGGTCTCACGTAAGCGTACGTGTAAGGTTGGTCCGGGCCGCTTCATCCCACGATGCCGCCGAATCAAGATAAGACTAGTAACGGCAAGCATATTGAACAATATCGACGCCCACAACTACTTTGTGTTCTACTCGTGCAAAGAATCTACGCAATAGACCTAGCTCTGATACCACTGTTGGGGAACGTAGCAGAAATTCAAAAAATTTCCTACGTAACACCAAGATCTATCTATGGAGAGACCAGCAACGAGTAGAAAGAGAGTGCATCTACATACCCTTGTAGATCGCTAAGCGGAAGCGTTCAAGTGAACGGGGGTGATGGAGTCGTACTCGTCGTGATTCAGATCACCGATGATCAAGTGCCGAACGGACGGCACCTCCGCGTTCAACACACGTACAGCCCGGTGACGTCTCCCATGCCTTGATCCAGCAAGGAGAGAGGGAGAGGTTGAGGAAGACTCCATCCAACAGCAGCATAACGGCGTGGTGGTGATGGAGGAGCGTGGCAATCCTGCAGGGCTTCGCCAAGCACCTACGGGAGAGGAGGAGGTGTCACGGGAGGGAGGGAGGCAACCAAAGGCCTTAGGTCTCATTGCTCCTCCTTTTCCCCACTATATATAGGGCCAAGGGATAGGGGGAGGGCGCAGCCTTGCCCCCTCCTCCAAGGAAGGGGTGCGGCTAAGGATGGGGAGGAGTCCATCCTCCCCAAGGCACCTCGGAGGTGCCTTCCCCTTTTAGGACTCTCCCCTTTTTCTCTTCTCTTGGCGCATGGGCCTCTTGTGGCTGGTGCCCTTGGCCCATGTAGGCCAAGGCGCACCCCCTACAGCCCATGTGGCCCCCCGGGGCAGGTGGCCCCACCCGGTGGGCCCCCGGGACCCTTCCGGTGGTCCCGGTACAATACCGATGACCCCGAAACTTGTCCCGATGGCCGAAACAGGACTTCCTATATATAAATCTTTACCTCCGGACCATTCCGGAACTCCTCGTGACGTCCGGTATCTCATCCGGGACTCCGAACAACATTCGGTAACCACATACAAGCTTCCTTTATAACCCTAGCGTCATCGAACCTTAAGTGTGTAGACCCTACGGGTTCGGGAGACATGCAGACATGACCGAGACGTTCTCCGGTCAATAACCAACAGCGGGATCTGGATACCCATGATGGCTCCCACATGTTCCACGATGATCTCATCGGATGAACCACGATGTCAAGGACTCAATCGATCCCGTATACAATTCCCTTTGTCTATCGGTATGTTACTTGCCCGAGATTCGATCGTCGGTATACCGATACCTTGTTCAATCTCGTTACCGGCAAGTCACTTTACTCGTTTCGTAACACATCATCCCGTGATCAACTCCTTGGTCACATTTGCGCAAATGATGATGTCCTACCGAGTGGGCCCAGAGATACCTCTCCGTTTACACGGAGTGACAAATTCCAGTCTCGATCCGCATAAAACAATAGATACTTTCGGAGATACCTGTAGTGCACCTTTATAGTCACCCAGTTACGTTGTGACGTTTGATACACCCAAAGCACTCCTACGGTATCCAGGAGTTACACGATCTCATGGTCAAAGGAAGAGATACTTGACATTGGCAAAGCTCTAGCAAACGAACTACACGATCTTTGTGCTAGTCTTAGGATTGGGTCTTGTCCATCACATCATTCTCCTAATGATGTGATCCCGTTATCAACGACATCCAATGTCCATAGCCAGGAAACCATGACTATCTGTTGATCACAACGAGCTAGTCAACTAGAGGCTCACTAGGGACATATTGTGGTCTATGTATTCACACGTGTATTACGATTTCCGGATAATACAGTTATAGCATGAATAAAAGACAATTATCATGAACAAGGAAATATAATAATAATACTTTTATTATTGCCTCTAGGGCATATTTCCAACAGATCGGGTCTTCCCGCTAGAAGGAATATCCTTCGTTGACCGTGAGAGCTTGTGATGGGCTAAGTTGGGACACCCCTGCAGGGATTCGAACTTTCGAAAGCCGTGCCCGCGGTTATGGGCAGATGGGAATTTGTTAATGTTCGATTGTAGAAAACCTGAAGTTGACATTAATTAAAATACATCAATCGCGTGTGTAACCGTGATGGTCTCTTTTCAACGGAGTCCGGGAAGTGAACACGGTGTTAGAGTTATGCTTGACGTAGGTTGTTCTAGGATCACTTCTTGATCAATAGTTGTTCGATCGTGCTTTTGCCTTCTCTTCTTGCTCTCTTTTGCGAATAGGTTAGCCACCATATATGCTAGTCGCTTGCTGCAGCTCCACATCATACATTTACCTTACCCATAAGTTTAAATAGTCTTGATCGTGAGGGTGTGAGATTGCTGAGTCCCTGTGGCTCACATTTACTTCGCAAACCAGTTTGCAGGTGCCGATGTAACCGAGCAGGTGACGCAACCAAGCTCAAGGAGAAGCTCGATGAAGATCTTGTCCTTTGTGTTGTTTCGTGCTAGTTGATCAGTAGTGGAGCCCAGTCGGGACGATCGGGGATCCGTGTAGCATTTGGGGTAGTCTTCTTTTATTTTGGTTCCGTAGTCGGACCTTAATTGTATCTGGTTGATGTAATGCTTTATTCATGTATTTGTGTGAAGTGGCGATTGTAAGTCAACTATGTATCTCTTTCCCTTATGTATTACATGGGTTGTGTGAAGATTACCTCACTTGCGACATTGCTTTCAATGCGGTTATGCCTCTAAGTCGTGCTTCGACACGTGGGAGATATAGCCGCATCGAGGGCGTTACAAGGTTCCTCCACGAAGGCCGGAGTGGCAAGATCCGCCGCGAGCGACGAGATCCAGCACCGCGCGGCCGATGCCATCACCCAAGCCCACCGCCGCCGGGAGCCCGCACGCTGCCGAGAGTCCCACACCCATGGATCTGGGCACCTGTGCATCGCCGCGAGTCCGCCGCCTCTGGGATCCGCCACACCGTCAGAAGGGCTGCACCCCGCGGATCAAGACGCTCGCGCCGCCGTCGCACGCACGGGCTTTGCCCGGCGCCGACCATCGGCAGAGCGGAGGGGGAGAAAGGCACTGGAGGGACTAGGCGGCGGCGGAGCCCTCCCGAGTCGCCCGTGGGGAAGGCGACCCGAGAGGTACGTGGATTTTTCTGTTGACTCTTGACGGCTGAAATTGCATAGTAGCCCAGTATGAAGCTCTCCGGCAGAATATTGGTCATATGTCCATCCAGTGGTACTCTGATGCTGGTAGCTGCTTCTTTTCGCGAGAGAATGGTCGGCAACGCATCATATCATAATATAATGGTAATAGAATAAGGGAACCACTCACGGTCAATCATCTTAAACACCGTCCTTGCCAATAACACAACCCAAATACTCCACCCTTGCGTTCATTTTCCACAAACAGGATCATACGAGAACAGATTGAGACGATCTACAGGATCATGTACCATGTGGCATCGTGGCTTTAACATTAATGAACAACAAAGCAAGAAGAAAGACACTGAACAGCCGCTCATGTCGACAAGCTGCCGCCGCCTTGCTGCCAGAGGTTGATGATGTCGGTGGCCTGGTTGAGAAGGATGATCATCTGCTTCTGCGAGATCCACTCTTTCTCCTCCAGCTTCGCTCTCAGTTCCTCCCATGCATCTTTCCGCGGCCAGAAGTAGTACGGGCTTAAGGGGATGCTGCCAACACCCGGAACCATCTGGTCAAGCGCTATGCCGATGTTCTTCTCCATCCATATGAACTTGAGCACCAGCATCGGGTCCTGCTTTTCAGGCACCTCCACCTTGTACTGCCATGCACAATTCAAATTATTTCAAATTTCATTCTGGCATTACAAGTTTTGTCTGCCATGTGAATCCAGTTATGCAGTTTTAGCACAGCTCAAAATTAAAATGATTTACATTCAAAACTATTGTTACACTGTCGACTTTCTGATGTCGGACATCACTTCCGCAAGCCTGTGCTGTACTGTAACGTGGTTATGATTTTCCGGATTTCATTTTCAATGGACTCTGGGACTAGGGTGCTGTTTTCGTATGCTATTCGTCTTTAAAAATAATATCTGAGGCCAGTTTTAGTAAAATGCAATCCTCATACTACAATTCATGAGAGGAAGTCCATGTAAGCATATACAACTGTCACTTAATTTCAACCACACACACCAAATATTCATGTTATGAGCAAGGTCCACAGCATATGCAGACTCCACAACATTTTATTTCTTGCTTACATGCAGCCAAGTACAAAAAATGGTATGCACTAAAGACCGTATAAAAGTTCAAAACTAGACTTCTCCAATTCATCAGCGGAAACAGACAGCCTAATAAATTTCAGTGAACAAGAGGACAGTACATTTGCAACGGAATCTAACTGAAACTCCTTCTACGGAGTAAAAACAATGTAGTACCAACTTCCACGGACTGAGCTACAGTTGGTACTTAAGGAACTAGCATGATTTATCGCACGGACAGAAAATGACCCAAGTTTCAGAGCAGCTGAAAAGACCATTACCTCCTCGCTTTCCGCCACGGCTTCCGCATCTCCTTCTCCGCCAAGTGGCTCCTCGTCCCCCAAACCGACGTATGGCTCCCCCGCTTCGACGGCGCCGGCAGCGGCGGCGGCGGCGAGGATGCGGAGCGAGCGAAGGGGCAGCCTCCTGCTCTTGAGGGGAACAAGGCCGGAAGAGGAGGAGGAGGACGGGGATGTGGAAGGTCTGGGCAGGGAGACGCGGGGGCGCGACGCGAGGGCCGGCGTAGTAGCGGGGTGGACGGACATCGGGAGCATGGTGTACTTCCGGATAAGAAGAGAGGAGGAAGACGATGATGCCACACCTCTTCCTGTCTCTGCCTTTTCAGCTCTCTCTCGGCGAGTGATAAAACCCCGGCTGAGATGGTTTATGGGCTGGCCCATCTAAGGCCCACCACGGAGACTTATCGGGCCGCCATAGTATCGTGACTAAAGATAGAAGTACTACCCCTCAAAAAAGTTCTCAACAAAAAAATAATCGAAAAAAAGAACTCAAAAAAAATTGTCTAAAAAAATTAGAAGAAGTTTGAGGCACCTACATTGAATTTTTCTCCCCAATGTAAGCTATCACTAATAGGCCTCATTAAGATAGATAATAAAAATTCTAGTACGCATGCATCTTTACTCTTCACTCCAACCTTTTGAGCTTTTTACACTGAACCATATTTTTTCTCTCCAAACACCTGCCTCCTGCAGAGAATCTTGCTTCCCTATCTGAAATTATTTTACTTGATATTTAATCCTACATGACACACGAGGCATTACCCTAGGGCTATGTATTGGCCACCTAATGCGTTGTAGGGCGAGTGCGGCAGTATAACTCGCCTACTGCGAGCTACACGTACCGCTCGTCTAAAGGACCGTAACAAGTGGACCAATCCAGCAAATCGATTTTTTCTGCGAGCTCAGCTCTCGTTGGAAGTACGTTGTTTTTGTAGTGCTAATATAGTACTTGTTGTTTTATTGTTGTTGTGTTGCTTACTGGACAGGTTTGATTATTTCTTTTTTAGAATATTATAAGACGTACTCTTCGTCTCATAATATAAAACGTTTTTTTAAAACTGCACTAGTGTTAGAAAGACGCTTTACATTATGGGAAGAAGGGAGTATATTCCAAACAGTTTGCTTCAAAATTTTAAAAAAGGTTAACACGGTGTAAAAAGTTGGTTTCCTTAATTAAAAAGGTTATCATCATTCAAAAAATGTTTCATCCATTTAAAAAATGTGCACGTTTCTGAAAAATGTGTGTGGAATTTTTAAAAAATATAGAAAAACGTTTTGTAATTCAAAATGACCTTTCAAAAATGTGCACGCATTTAAAAACTATGTTCATGACCTCTTTAAAAAATTATACAATACACAAAATGTTTATGTAGTTTAAAAAAAAGTTTCATATCATTTTAAAATATGTATTGACGTGTAATTGAAAAATGTTCAAAAATATTTAAAAATGATCAAAACATGTGGTTGAAAATCTTTATCTTTACCTAATAATAAAGTAAATTGGGTTTTTTTCGTCCGTCATGGCATTTTTCAGAAAAGTCCCTGTGTTTTTTTGAAATCAACCCGTCATCCGAATTTAAGTCATATCTGAACCGTTATTTTACGTTTTTCGAAAAAAAACCCTGACGTTTTAGGTTTTTCATCCGCTGATCATATTTAGGTCAAACAAATACTTTTTTAAATCATCCATATCTTTTAAACCGTAACTCCGATTTGAATATTTTATATATGAAATTTGATTAAAAAAATATGTAGAATATGAATATGAGATTATTTTTACCTGTTAAGTATTTTTAAATATTATTTTGGAATATATTTAAATCAAACAAATGATTTTATAAATTATCCGTATCTTTTAAACCGTAACTTCGATTTTAACATATTATATATGAAATTTTATTAGAAAAATGTGTGTAATCTAAATATGATGTTAATTTTATCTGTTAAATATTTTTAAAATATTGTTTTGGAAGCAAACTTATAATTTATAGCACAAGATCCGTTTTTTTTCGTACCGGCGGCGATCCGGATTGCAAATAAACACCCCGCTATAACCATATATGGAAAAGAAAACATCGATAACTACACATGCATACCTCTGAAAATATGTCGCAGGGGAAACAACAGATTCTCGTCGCGGGAGAGAGAGAAAGCGAGCGAGCGAGCGAGAGAGAGAGAGAGAGAGAGAGAGAGAGAGAGAGAGAGAGAGAGAGGGCGATGGAGGAGAGGGAGAGAGAGACGCCTTAGGATTAACCATATTCAAACGCGTTTGTTGTTGTTTTGTGTGAACACCGAGACCATCACCGGCGAGGGTGACAAGGAGGATAAGCGGCAACACAAATATGATGCCTCGCAAAAATAAAGGAGATGAACCTATTGAGTGATGGTTGTTGGGTTAAAAGCATGTGTTATATTTTCTCCCCCATTGCAACGCACGGGAATTTGTGCTAGTTGTTAATAAAATATTTGAAAAATGTAAAGCATGTATAAAAACCTGTTTAAGATATATTTAAAAATGTGCAATGTGTATGAAAAAAAAGACATCAAACATTCGTTTAGAAAATGTTAATCATTTATTAGAAAATATTAAACATGCATAAAAATGTTCTTGGCGTATATGAAAAATGTAGATATGTGTTAAACAAAAGAGAAAACTAGAAAAGTCGGTGGAAGTCGAGAAAGAAGCGAAGAAAACAGAAGAAAAACAATACAAAAACGGAGGAAATAAGAGAAACCTGGAAGAATCAGCTACATGCGGTAAATAAACTAATAAAGAAACAAGAGTGAAAAACCAATGTGCTTGCCCCAACACGTGATTATGTAGGACTAATGGTACCTAACAACTACAATATGACTTGTTCTTGTTCATTATGAGGCACACAATGAAATATTCACCAAATGACTTATCATTCATCTTTTGCCCTTTCTAAGAGCTTCATTGTCATCCTCAGAAATCTCAGTGGATTGCCGCTCAGAATGTTTGAATGAAACATAAAGTTCAGGAGTTATCCCTCACCTCTAACTAGATGAGCTAGGCATATCTTACGTATGAGAAATATTCTTAAAGAACGTCGCATCATTCAACTCCATGATTGTACCAACATTCATGTCACGTACCTCAGATTTCACTACTAATAACATATAGCCAATGTTATAAACACAATCAACGGGTTTAGATCCAAACTTACGCTTCTTGAAAATTGACACGTTGACTTTCACCAAGCATCCACATGTTCGTAAATAAGAGAGCTTAAGCCTTTTTTCCTTTATCATTCCCCAAATGGGGTAATCTCTTTAGTCTTCATGGGAACTATATTTAGGGCATGACTTGCAGTAATCAAAGCCTCCCCGCCATTCCTAGGAAAGTCTCGCTGTGTCTAACATGACGTTAACCAAATTAGTTAGAGTGTGGTTATTTTGTTCGGCAGCCCCGTTTGACTGGGGCGAATAGGGAGTCATCCTCTCATGAATTATACCATGTTTCTCGCATAATAAATTAAACTCGTTGGAGAAATACTATCCACCATGATCCAACCTAAGCCTCTTGATCTTTTGAGCAAGGTGATTCTCTAGTTCAGCTTTATAGATTTTAAAGTAGTGCAAAGCCTCATCTTTTATTTTTAACAGATATATCACGAAATATCTAGTAGTCATTGATCAAAGTCATGAAATATCTTTTCACGCCATTTGTCACCATGGATAATCCTAGAATTTGACGACATACGTGTTAGTAGGGTAGATTGTTTTTTTGGCGGAAGATGATGTTCTCGTCCATATTGGTACATCAATGTGAACTTTGTCATTAAAGTTCTATAACTCAAATCTTCACTAGATGTTGTGTGAGTAAGTGTATATAGTGGTTGGCTTATGTGTATGCATGTGTCTACTTTATACCTGACTTATCTAAAAACAAATAATCTTAAAATTAGCTAAACTAATATTACATAGAAGAAGAAGTTTCGTGATCATTGTCTTAGTTTTACAAAACAAGTAATAAATTTTGCCAAAAGAATGGGACGACAGATAGGGGGTTGCCATCCAATCCGGTATACCAAATTTACACCCCTTGTCCAATGGAGAGATGGGAGAGAAGGGAGGAGGCGGGAAAAAACGGGTTTGTGGTGGGTCCAAGATTTGTCCGTAGTGTGTCAAGACTCCCCCAATCACTTTGACGTTTGCTACCGATTTATAGGATCCCAGACACTTTTTCATGTCCGCCAACATTTGATGACACTTTTTCATGTCCGCCAACATTTGATGTATCCCCATTGGATGGCTAAAATTATCCAGACCGTCCGATTCAAACATTTAGAAGAGATTTTATGTACACCCTTGGAGATGCCCTAATGGAGACACCTGGTAGTACTCCCTCCATTCTTGTATACACGACAAAATAGGTTCCACTAAGACAATCTTTGACCAAGCATCACTTTGATTAGTTGGTTTGCGGTTTATATGATACAAAATCATTGTTATAACTAAGTACCTTTGAACACAAATCTAGTGATACCTCAACTAAGTCTTTGGATGTATAGGCCGTGGGTTATCTTCCTTTTTGAAGAAGAAGAAAAAAGCGAAGTGTTAGATCAATGTCTAACTATCACCATCCCCACCTCACTCATATAACCAGAAGGACGGAAAACTGCAATATGCTTTCATTACATTGCAGAAGAAGATAATTTATCGGATAGCCAAGTAGATAAATTATCGGCATTTTTCTCTGCAGCAGAATAAGAAGAGAAAGAAGAAATTCCGAGATCATCGTCTTAGTTTTACAGAACATGTAAGAAATTTTGCCGAAAGAAGCAGGCAACAAGCTCCAAGATCGAAAAAACCTTCTTGCTCACACATCTAATCAGAGCACCGTGTCAGATAAACCCAAGAACGCGATTAACCCCGTTACTAGCATTAGTCCCATCTTATTCAGAAGTCGACAGTCTTCTTCATAGCAAGTTGGTTAGCGTTACTGTATATGGTAGACGAAAATGGATATAAGACTACAATAGTCAAGTAGCTAAATTACCAGGCATTGTTCTCTTCAAAAGAAGAAGAAGAAGTTCGAGATCATTGTCTTAGTTTTACAGAACATGTAAGTAATTTTGCCGAAGGAAGCTGCAGGCAACAAGCTCCAAGATCGATAAAATCTTCTTGCTCACACGTCTAATCAGAGCACTGTGTCAGATAATAAACCCAATAACGCGATTAACTGTAGTACCACTAGCATTAGTCCCATCTTATTCCACGGTCACCACTAATAACTATTTACTGTGTCATGTGCCTGGTGGGGTGCATGCAGGCAAAGCATGTGCAGAGGTCGCCACCGCTCAGAACTCTGGCGCCGGCGAGTACGCCTCGTCGGCGGGCACCACCGCTGACGCAGA